TCGAAATGTCAGATGAACACCAAATGTGCAAATGATATGCTTTGGCATTTGACTCCAGCTTGAACAAAAATCAAGCTTTTATTGGTCAGCTCTTTGACTCCTATGGTTGTGAAATAGATTGAGAGCAAAGTAGGTGTTTGCTTTCTGACTATCTCAGCTGCAGGCATCTCGGATAGACAAGTTCTTGTAAATTGTTGTTTTAAACGATTATTTTAGTAATCAGTGAATCTGTCATGACAGGATTTGGTACCATCGTCACAAACACAGAAACATTTATACACACCAGCCATCTGTTGCAATTGGGATGGGAGGAAATGTATTTTTTGCTTCGTCCGTAAAGCCACACTGAGCATCAGCTACAGCAGCCAGCTGTTGTCTTATCTGCACGAGTCTCTGCCACACACTTCACCCTAAACCGAAACGTGCTGTGAATTTGGCATCTAGGCAGCATCTCCATGAGGAGAAGGGTCGTCCTATTCCATGCATCATGCTAGTCATTTTACGGATGCCTATTGATCCCCCGAAAACAATAAAAACCTGAAAATCAATTAATAAAATCCCACTGGACCAATCATAAGAGGCTGCTAGCATTTGGCATTCGTGAATAAAGCACAGGCATAAGAGTGTAACATAAATCACCCGGCTGGAGCACGAGCCGCTAAACAGTCGAACTTCACCTAACAAAACTTTGAGGAAGATCATTTGTCTCAAAAAATTTTAATAATCAAGGTACTCAAATTGTTCAAAGCATCTTAATGTAAACTGGTAGCTTGTTGTTTCAAAGTCATCAATAGACAGTTTGGCTTAAAATTTAGTAATTTTATTTTTTTTCAATCTGAGTTTCAGTTGCTGGTATAACGATGGAAAGAAAAGACAACAAACCGTGGTACTTAAAGGTTCGGAGCGTTCGGAAGAGCAGCAAACAAAAGAAAAAATTACCCACAAGTAAGTAGTAATAGGCTGATAAGACATGGTGGAGGAGCCCAATCTGCTGCACTTAAAAGCTTTCAAGCAGATTCTGCATAATAAAACCAGGCTACATGCAGCAGGATTTTACATTTTTGATCCAGATAGCTGAGATTCTAATCTAAGCAGGTATGAAAGTATCCACTTATCTTGTAAAAACAGAGATGGAAGGAAACACCTAAGCATCCCTTGAGTGCTGCAATACCCAAATCAATCAATCAATCAATCAATCAATCAATCAATCAATCAATCAATCAATCAATCAATCAATCAATCAATCAATCAATCAATCAATCAATCAATCAATCAATCAATCAATAATCTTATAATGACAGAAAACAGTAAAAACCGTGCAAGTCGCGTACATTAAATCCTTTTTACGCTCCAGTAAATCTGTGATTTAAAATTCAAAATACCCATTTGCTCAGAAAGAAGTATTGGGAGGAAATATTACGTGGAAAAACATTTTATTTTTTCAAGAGATTAGGTCCAGGCGTGTCCATTTTTTTCACAAAGTCAATTATGCAATTAGGATTCTGTGTTGAGATCCGTTTTGTAAAGCAAATCTGCCCTTGCGCTTAGGCGACTTGCTTCACTATTGGACGGCCCTAATGCCATTACAGGACACATGCAAAAAATAAATAATAATCCTTGTTTACATATGGATGACAGGCACAATCCCAGGTAGAACAAAACTGTTTGTTCCTGCAGTTTCTCACCATAAAGTTCTTTCCAATAAGAAAAAAAAATAGAAATCAAATCCGAAGTCTAAAGGTTTTTCTAACTTGATAAATAACTCTTCCTCTGTTCCAATGTTTGCAATTTCTCTAAGACTCAGACACATTTATGGCTAGAACATAGACGTCAATGTCAAAATTTAAAGGGGCAAGCTTCGGGTTGTTGACACGGAGTGACCCATATGTATTCCTGTCAGCCTTCACACACAGCTGCGCTCAAATCTGGCAACCAGCAAACTCTGCAATAAACATATTGATGGATTCTACAGCGGCCAAAATAACCACAGGACCTCGCATTGTTACCTCCTGCTTTCTCCCTATGGAGTCCTCCCTCAGGCTTGTTTAACTCATCCATGTTAATTTATTGCTTTTGCATAAAACAGAAATGTGTGTAATCTGTAGCAGATCTGCACTTAATTCAAAGGCTGAATTTGCAAAGGAGAGTTGATGGAAATAGACCTGTTGGTGAATTACACAGTAGATTTCTAATCAAAGAGGAAATATCAGCAAATAAAACTCTCAAATGTAAATACGGGACAGAAAACTTAGTGGTAGTTTGACATGTGAAAATTTTAAATATGTCTGCTCACTCAGTCCTTTTTCCATGACTGGCAACAATAAAAGAAGTACAGAGTGAACATTTTCAAAGATCATCTAAGCAGAAAATTCAACTGAGATTTGTGAAAGCAAAAAGATTTAGCTTGGTTTTTTGTTGTTGTTTTTTTTTTGTTCATTTTTATTTGTCGTCTGCCAGTAGAGGATCTCTGTGGACATTTTCAGATTCTTAAATGGAACCAATAATCGGCCTCATCAAACTTTCTCCCTGTATTTTTATCCAATGTAATTAGAAACAGCAAAGTCATATTTTCTGAGGAAAAACAGCTGAAATAGACGCTGTGGGGGCAAGTTGTTAGAATCTAACCGTAGACGGACTTGACATGACAGACGATTTTCTTAGAATAATATTTTGACAGCTAAATTAATGTTTAATTCAACATTTCTAGCACTGTCTTGGTTGCCAGTTTGTTAGGTTTCCAAACAACTGCTCTTAGTCTTCTAGCTATCTCACTTTCTTTCATATTTCTCAACTTTAGGCATGAAAATGAACAGAGCGAAACACCACTGCAATGGAAAAGTTGTACCTTGCCCTTTAAAAATGCACTGAAGTTGATTGGAAACATGTCACATGTTACTGGGTTCGTCGCTATACAAATACTTTACATAAATTTTTTTTGCTTTAAAGACATAACATGACTTTTCACCACTAGACTCATTAATGAAAAACATTTCTTTTGTTTGACTTTAAACAATGAAACATAGAATGTGAGTTGTTGCAGCTGTGTAAAGAATGGCGTGCACATGAACTGAAGCTAACCCTCACATAACAGCTATAATAGCCTTGCTCTGGTTTAATGATGAGTTACTCTGTGATTATTGTTTAGCCTGCCTAAAATAACTTTTAAAACAGGTGCAGCGCTATCAGACACTCATATTTGTGGACGCATTCCGGAGCAGACAAAGCTGGAGGTGTAAGGCTTTGAAAAGGAAAAGGGTACACAGCACAATCAGTCCTGAAGACGGATAGAGACAGCCCGGGGGGGAAAAGCTGTTTGCACTAAATCTAATTAGCTTTGTTCTTTGAGTCAGTCTTCACAGTGTTTGTTAAAGGCAGATTCACAAAAAACAACATCCAGTTCACCACAGGGGCAATGCTCAGTTCGATTCTCTGCTTCGGTTTCCTTCGGGTTGATACTGAGAAAGCGGAAACATGAAAGATTCAATTATGGTTTCAGTGATTATATTTAATTATATCATGACTAATCATTTCCAGCAGCAATTGAGGTCAGGGAAAGCCAGGGCATTAGAAGGAACGGTGCAGACAGCTTCATCTCTTAATTAATTTTCCAACCATCATCTTCTCTTTAAATAAAATGTGGTAAAAATTCACTGGTGGCTTAATGCAGGTAATAATTTAAGTGGCCCAACAGTAACAAATGAAAGACCTCCAACAGATTGATTTTCAGTTCGGTAATTAAAAGGTTTGATAGACAGAAATAAACACGGACAAGGAAGGTTATGATTAGGCCTGTAAAGATTTTGATAGTTGTCTTTTCTTTTGGGATCAAATGCGACTATATTTAAAAATCTGAATGTTGTGATGGAAAAGTGCACATATAAAGTTTGGAAATGAAGTAAGTCCAGTCAGACCTCCATACTGTAATATGTTACAATATGGCCAATTAGTGCCACCGTGGTCATTGAACCAGCGTTTGGTAGCTTTGCCAGTGTGAGCCAAGTCCTGCTAGAAAATGAAATCATACTCTCCAAAAAGCTTGTCAGCAGAAGGAGGCCGGAAGAATAAAATGTCCTGGTAGATCACTGCATTGACTGTGGACTTCAGAAGATCCAGTGGACCAACATCCGATGACCTGGGATCCCAAATCATCCCTAACTGCACGTACTCAGGTGTAATGTGGGTCCACTGTCTGCAGATGGTTGAGATTTCTCAGTTGAACATATAGATTTCCCACATTTCCCACATCTCCCTTATTTCCACTTGTCCCCTTGTCCTCATCCAGGGTTTGAGCCATTTCCTTCAATGCATTTTTTGGTGTCTGAAAGTCCTTATCTGGACAATTTCATCCACTTGATGGCAGCGATTCTCAATTTTATCAGCTCAAAAGATTTGTTTCCTGCCAAGCAGTTTATTATGCGACACTAACTGTGTGTACACAGGTATAAAAATTTGCGATGTCCGATACATGCGTACCTGTGAGCGGCAAAGTACATCCCTCCCAATCCACAGCGCTGATTGGTGATGTAGTTGCATGATGAAAATAGTGTCATCTTGTTTGCTGTTCTCGAAATGGACCCAAACTATTTTGCAAACTGGTCAGAAGTTTGTTTCTGCATTTGTATGCAGAAATGTACTCTGACAACAATGCTGATAATTCCCTTCAACTAGTCCGTCTCAGCCATCTGGTTTTTGGATCCACAGGTGACACACATATTTTTACAGAAGCGTTTATCAGACAAATTACAAACATTTGTCTGATTTTTCACAACATGGATGGAAATGTCAAAGTTTGCATTTCCAAAAGAAATCCAAACTTTGAACAATTAAGCAGCACTCCAGTTCTTTGTCTACTTAATCTGGTGAGACACATCTGACAATGTCTTTGGTTCAGAAGTGGTTTGCGAACTGCAGCTTATGTTCTGGATACATCTCACTGCGGCTGAAGCCCAATCTGGGCTGTGCTTCGCAATTCATTCAAGGCTTTAATTTCTCTCTTGCAGGTTTTCCAACTCAGTTTTCCAGTTTTCATGCAGAACGTTGAGAACATCTAGCTTCTTTGACACAGACCTTTCATCTCCATTACTGTGCTGCACAACCGAAAGTCAGCAGTTTCCCCCATGATTGAGTGGACAATAAGATATTTCTGTGTAAAATCTGTTTATTATTCTCATGTATTGTAATTTTCTGAGAAATTTAATGCTGTATTTTCCAAAAGCTCTAACCCAAAATCTTAAAAATGAATCTAAATAAATGCTTGAAACAATGAGGATTTTGGTGTGAGTGTTTTTCTGTGTTAGTGTGACTTCACTTTGAGAGAGGATCTTTGCAGGGGAGCCCTTCTGGCTCTGTGCTGCCTGCACACCTGGGGTCAATCACCTCTTTAGGCGATTGGTGAATATAAGGAGCTACAAGATGGTTGGATGGTTAACTGTGATTGTAGACTTCAGTTCTCCAGAAACCTTTTGTGACTGTCTGTAGGGATATTTTTGTAACTTTTTATTGTGACTTTCTGTGAGTTGATGAGTCTCAAATACGACCTGTGTCTTTTCAGTCAATTCACATTCATTGGACCTCTACATCATTGATACTCGATAAATATTACTATGCTGCATCCATCATGACACAAATACTTCACCAGGTCCCAAAGCAAAGCCATTTTTTGCTAATCTAGAAGCATGTCGAGTGTCCAAATATATGCAACAAAGAAGGCATGTGGTGCAAGGAGGAGAAATCACATACCAAGAAGGCCATGCATAATTAACCGAAAAGTGTTTTCAAGAGAGGGAGGGACCCAAAATAAATCTTGAAAGACCTGACTATCGCCCTCTTTGTCCGACTCTTATCCAAATTTAGCTCCGCACACAACTAGAGGTTAATTCTTTTGACCCGGGACAAACTCTTTCCGCGTTATTAGGCATTTCTCCCGTTGACAGAAGCTTTCAAAGCCTGTTCGTTACAGAGCAGACATGTCAGAGAACGCACCAAGAATGCCAACTATCCCAATGAGGCAGCAGCTTCCTGTAGGTGGTCGACATGAGTCAATCCTTTACTGGATGCTGAAAGTCTTCGATGAAGTTATAGACCCAAATGAAGGCAAGATTGCATTCACTTAAATAGTGAGAGAGCATTGATGTTTCCGATAAAAACATTGTACATAATTAACCAACTAATAACTTAAAGTTTGACATATCTTCAAGATTTATTCCAGTTGGTACACTGGAAGAATTAGGGAGATGAAGAGTTTTAAAAAATAAACTTGACTTAATGCCTCCTCAGTTATTATAATTATCCTGCGATCTGCAGCTGACCACTAAGAACTTCCTGAAAAGCTCAGTTCTGCAGTGAGGTCAACCTAAGCAGCTGCATTTGCACTTATTTATGTTGTGGAAATAATCCCCTGAAGTTATGAAGCTCTTAATAGTTAGGTTTACTCTGGATGAAGCTTGGCTTGTTGCACGCTTCAGCAAAACCAATTTTAAAGACATTTTTCAGTTCCAGTAAAAACTCAGACTAATAAGAGTTGTTAGAGGCTGTCCACTGGTGAGACGGTTTTTCACAAAAGTACATTGACCACAGCTGGGTAATAAATATTGAATCATACACATTTAGTAATATGATTTTTAAAAAGATGAGAAAAAGCATAGTAATTCTTGCTGGTGCGTATTTAAGTCACTAGTTTTATTTCTGTTATAAATGAGTGCAAAACTTTCAGTGTCAAAAATATGCAATTTTACAATTGTGGTGTTTTCATTAAATAAGAAATGCAATTAAAATCACAGGTAAATAATTTTGTTCATGTGAAAAACATGCCGATCGTGTGATGCAAAAGAAAGTGTTTCCGTAGCAGTTCTGCAAAATAATTACATTTGGATCGGACTAAAAACCAAAACTTTAGAGTTATTTTTTTAAATTGACGTGTTTCCGTTAAGCCGATTTATTTTCAAAACATCAACTTGTGACTTTCTGGGTAAGGGAAACAAAGCTAATGACAGCAAGTAGAGCAATGATGCATCTTCAAGTATATCCTTAAAATATATCCTTAACGCAAGAATAAAAAAACTTGCATGTATTGGATCAAGGTTCAGCACGAGGGCAGAGGAAAGACAATTGTTTTGAATGAATAAAGAGGATCCAGTACCTCAAGGCCTTCTAAACGGCTCACACCTGTGACTGTGCTGCACTCACCATAACGGGGTGACATGAAACAGAACACTGGGCTCGTTGTAATTTGAAAGTTATTTTACAAACCATTATCGTAAATTTCCCTTTGAGGGCCCTTTCTTTAGTATCAGTTTATGATCCGCCAGTTGGCCCCCAGGGCAAGGGGAGCAGGAGGTGAGCCGAGCGTGCTCTCTGTGAGCTAAGTGGCAGCCTCGATGTGTCATGGGAAAGAAAACATGTCCCCTGTGGCCGGCCTGTTTAAGGTATCCCGTTTTTAAAGGCTGACTTCTCCCTTTAATGCCGACATCACAGGCTGGTCTGGCCCCCGAGCCAGTCACAAACAGGAAGTCTCTGCTAATCCTGGTCTTCCCTAATGACGCAGAGGAATTCTCAATGTTCCTATTGTCTTCCTGTATGTGCTTCCTTTAAACCTTTTAGCTCTGAACCTTTCCAAGACCAGGGCTTAAGACGCAAATAAAATCACAGACCTGAGCTTATGAATGAAAAAGATTTTTATACATCATCAAAGACACTTTGCGAATAAATGCTGTGGACTCGTAATTAAACAAATGCTTAATTCATTCCGAAGAAAAATGAAATGTTGTCATAACTCAAATCATCGCCGTACTTTTGAACGGCGATATTGTGGACGGGAAGGATCTGTGGTAGCAGTCAGTCTTACAACAAATTTGAAGAGGCCTCTGACCGAAGACTGCTGCCATGCAGACAGCCAAAAATCCGGGGACAAAGACGGCATTTCACAATAACATGCCTTGGTTGACAGGCTTTCGCTAGCACTGCTAATCCATCTAATTACCTTTTGATATTCCACTTTAAGGGTTAGAGTCAGAATATGAACAAAGTTTTGAACATGTTTATAATGAAAACATAGCTAATGATTTCTACTCCAGCGGTCAACAAAGTCAGTATCTGATGCCGCTAAGCACATTTGGGATGTGGTGAAACTTTATATTTGCTCCAAGGTGTGTAGCTGACAAAGCTAACCGTGCCAATATGTAAATGTGAACCAAAATCTCTGAGGAGTTTAATGAACACCTTGCTTAAGCCACGGAACCGTTTCTGAAAGCAATGTGTTCATAATTCAGTGGGCTGTAAGTGCAAATCCTTATGCTGGAGGGGAAAAAAAGCTACTTCAGTTTCCTGTAAATGCTTTGTTTTATTTACCTGAAAACCAGATGTTCAGAAGAGAAATTGCAAGCTCTCAGACTGGAAGTAACAAAGCTGTCTGATAACCTGGGGTTGTGCAGACAAAGTGTTGGGCCGCAGCCTGGTGTGCCGTGAATGCTGATACACAGATTACAGCCGGGTTTGTCATGGGTACAGTCCAGACCAGCTCTGCTCCTATCAGCATTATCCCAAAGCACTCAGGCGTGACATCTGCCAAGAGGCCTGCTGCAGGGTCCGGCCTCATCACCGGGAACACGTCCAAGTCAAATATTGTTGCCCTCACACACCATGGGGCAGGACCCTGCCACAACTCCTCTTTAACCAGGAGGTGACGTTTATGACGGTGCTTGGAAAACGAATTCCATGAAGACGAGGAACGGATAGAGGGTTCAACGTACCACACACAGCTGTGGACTTTGATTACAAGCTCAGAGGGTGGTGTGTTTGAGCTCTTCCTCTTCTCCTGCCATCGCGGCTTCGCCAGCATGTTATCAGCTGTGGAAATGTCCGACGCAACTCTCTGAAGGAGCGGACTCAAAGTGGATGACATAAGCCAGCGCTGCTTTCAGAGGAAGGAGATAAATGCATTGAGCAGGGTCTTTATCAAAGGCCTCCCTGTTTAAGATCCTGATTAAAGCTGGGGGACCTCGTCCTTCCCCCAATCCCGGTGGACGTAGGTGTTCAAACATGACTTTGTTTTAGTTGGCCTGCCGCTCCGCCAAGAAGCTTCCCCTTCGGGCCTTACCATGAGACTCCCGCAATTGCCGGCTGTCACACCGCAGCACAAGGGATCCACAGTGTTTTCATTGAGTTTTTCAAAGCATGAATTACACTCCAGCTCAGCCCTGAGAGGGGAAAGGAATAATAAAAACTGTGACTTTGTTTGATCTCTGATTTTTTTTTGAGGCAGGGGAACAACAGAAAATGTGGCCATGCGGTGTGAGAAAACATCAGCGTTGCACAGAGCGACACGAATCATGTCAGGTTGTGCAAACAGGTTTATCTTTTTTCCCCTCATTTCCTGCGTTCTGTCGACCGATATCTGAATTATTTCTGTAAGACAAGTTGAGCAGATTTATTTTCTCCGTCGAATGGGATAAGATAAACGAGGTGGATTGCAGGATTACAACGAGCCGCCACTGGGATATCAGCTCAGCCAGATGGGAGCTGGAAACAGGACAGGAAGTAAGATAATGACATGTTGGCACAAACTTCTTGTTTTGATGAGTTTCCTGCTGTACCCGGTAACTTTAGAGACGGTTAAAGCATAAAGATACATTCTGAGCATCCTGGGTCAGACAAGATTTCCAAAATGATTTCTATTTAGCAAACAGAAGAATAGTAAGAGAGATGAACGTGAGGAACTTTTAGGGTTTTTCTTCTATAAGAAAGAAAACCCTAAATCCCAAAATGCCGTTTGCTGGGATTTTGGTCCGTTCCTCCTAACGGAATTGGTACAACAGAGTCCTGGTTGTGCTGCTTCATGAACACACTTTTTCAGTTCTACCCAGTTTTTTCACTCCAAGACCTTGTCATCTTTTGGCTATTTCCTATAAAGTCTACTTTTAAGATCATTGTCCGGTTGGAAGACCCATTGATATCCAAGCTTTAACTTCACAGCTGATGTTTTCAAATGCTGCTTCAATATTTCCACATAAGACTTTTTCCTCATGATGCCCTGAATCATCATAATGCGGCCAACCCTATGCTTCAATTGGGATAGCGTTCTCAAATAACACCTCTCTCTCTCTCTGTAGTCCCTTTTGAAAAATGGCTTCCTCTACATTGAGTGGCTTTTCAGCCCAGGACATGACACACAGTGGATAATGAAACTCTGACTGACTGCAGACAGATTTTTCACAAGGTTATTTGCTTTCATTCTGTGGTTGAAATGCAAATTTTGCAC